GGGCAGACTGACGTGGGGGCCACCTGCCCCGTGTGCGGGACAGGAGGCCCTCCTCACCGGGGGAGGCCAGTGTCTTAAAGCTTACTTGGATTTAAGTTGATAAATGACAGCAAATTGTAATGCTGCAAACAGAATAAAACAAGCATTTGATTAAAGGGTTTGTCGTGTGCATTTTTGATCCAGAAATATAATTTCCCAGAAGATTGTAAAAATTTACATTGGTGTCCTTTCTTTTTTTAACCATCACAAAGCCTTTTACACTGCACGTTTGGGATAAAATAAAATATTCCAGTGTCACTAACTACCACTTTCTTAACAAGATCTTGCCATACTCCACTTCTTTCCCTAGCGACCCCTTGCGAGTTCGCTGTGAAGCCGGCCAGCGTTCTCACTCTGGATTGTTGACAAGTCATTGACTTTTTATTTCCTCCTCACTCATTCAGCACGTCTTCATTGAATACCTAATAGTGCCAGGGACTGTACAGCTGTTCCAAGCTTTCAGAGGGAAAAGCTAATTTTTAAAAGCAAAATGCCTACTTTTTGTAGTTCTAGTCTCAGTACACCGGGTATGAAGGAAAAGCCTTTTTGATGGGCATTGGTGGTTCATGATCCGTTTGCTAGTCACTGTAAGTGGGGCTAATAATGTTCTAGGGAGCAGCTCTTCAAATAACAGTTGTAGGCCCTGAAGAGGTCTTTTTAGTTGCCTGGAGCAATTAGGATCTCTGCAGAGCCTCGCCACCCACAGATGAGCTAGTTTGAGACAAAAACATAATACCCCCAAAGAATAACAAACAGGTCTGATTAGTGACTATAAGAATAGATTTATTTAAAGACTTGGAATCTATTTTAACCAAAGAAAAAAAGACTCTATTTCCCATAATATATTAAGTATCCAAATCTTTTTCTACATAATTTTTGTAAAGTTATCAAGATTGAATAAAATACTAATTTTCTTCACTTGTTTCTATTCAGTTTCATGACCACTTTATTTTCTTTCACAAAATGTTCCTTGCCACAGTTGAAACAGAATTCTTAGCCTGGTTAAGGACTTAAACACCTACATCTGCCCATAGTATGTAACTTTGGGTTTCATGTGTAACATGCTGGTGTCAAGGTCTGAGAACCGCATCTTCAGAGTTCAGGCTTTATTTCATCTGAGCCCAGCTCTGGTGGTGGGAGGATCAGTTGCCACTATCGCCCAGTGACATAGTGCCTCCACACCCTCCTGGACTGGCAGCTCAGTTTTACCTTTAAGACAAAATTATACTTAATCTATCTAATATGATCATTCCTATGGCTTCCAGTTCCTCAAACCAACCTTTTTTTTTTAACTAGTTTTTGCATTTTTCAAGATCATTTTACTGGAGGCTCTTACAGCTCATA